TTCTTGGCCTCACGTTCTCAACTGACATGAAGTGGAAATCCTACATCGAATCAATAGCTGCATCTACTGCAAGGATATTTGGGTCACTATGACGTGCCAGAAGATTTTTCATGTAAGTGTCCATCTTGAACATTTCCATATTTACCATTCGTTCGTGCATTGAATACTGATGTCATAACTGATCAGGTGCTCCTGCTACTCATCTCGAGATTCTTGACAAAATCCAAAGAAGGAACTGCAGTGTATTCGGACTTGACTTGCCATACCGACTTCAGCCACTTTTTCACTGACGTGACGTGGATTCCCCCTGTCTTTCCTGCAAATATTTTCATGGATACTGCTCTGACGAGCTTTTTTCTCTGGTGCCCGGACTACGCGTGTTTACGTGTGATATTAGACTGTCATCTAGGTCCCCCCCTATCTTACTGTTGAATTAGGCAAATATAATCACCACGTCTACTTCAACAGTTTCTTTTCTCGCACTTCCCACTTGTAAATATCACTTCCGTTGCCATGCTTCCCTGATAACTACAATCTTCAATAATTTAAATGCAACGTTAATCGCCATCTTCTATCTTCTTGAACCCCGTTCAGCTTGTATCCTTTCGCTGCCTTCTATACCCAGTCTTATCTTACCTTCACTAACTGTAGGCCCCTGCCTTGTTTGGGGTGAAATGATTTAAAAAAAAGAGACGATGGCAATGAAAAGAGAACGAAAAATAAATAGATTATTGATAGAATGTACGGATAAAATAAAACTGATAAAATAAAACTGATTTAAAATAAAGAATGGTACTGGCATGGTAAATAAGTTTATAAAAATATATTCTTGAGAGACTCAATGGAAGTATCACTAAGTTATACCGTCCTGGATTTGATGATAACCTCCATCTGGCAGCAAGGCCTCTGATCGGAAGCTTTTGTGAACTGTAGAACTACACGTGAAAATAGAATGGAATTGTTTAACATTGTTTTCGCCGGGGTTCTCTATTGAGAATTGGCCTTTTTCTAAACAACGTCCAGACCCCAAAATAGCGGCCAATGTCTACACTGTTACTTAAACCATAAAATAGTTACAAGCCTTTCTATTAGTATAAATGTGAAAGCTATAGATTGAACGGTAATTTTAACCATTTGC